CAGGTGTAAGGACTTCTGGTCCAAAACTTATACCAAATAGCCTAATGCTTTCTTTTATATTGGCCAATATATATTTCTTTGCATGCATCAATAGACTTTTACTTTTGATCCTCTTTGTATCTATCACGTTCAGTGCTACAGCATAATCAAAACCCTTGTCGACAATAAATTCACTTCGGTTCAAGCTTGTTCATACAAGCAAATTAATTGAGATATCTTCATTTTAAAACTTTCAGGTACCTACTATTCTTCTGGAACTATGATCTCAATTATATTACTTGACTCTTCTAGAGCTATTTTATCCTCGAGTTTACCATCTTAATTTATAGCTCCTTCCTTTCTCAAGGATTTTTATCGTTGGAACCGATTGGTATACCACGCTTCATGCGCTCGTTTAGACTCATTAGATTGTTCAATATGAACATCAATTTGTATTGGAGCATTCACAATTGGGCATGTGACATAATCACCCTTTTAGTGAGTAAAAGACGTTTGGCAATCGATACGTTTTTTTTTTTCATGAATCACCATATGAACTTCAGGTTCATGTTTCTTCGTTTGAGGATCAAAATGAGATAATGATGATTCCAACTCACATCTATGCCCCAGTGTTTACTTTTCTCCCCCTTAAAGTTCGAAAAGTAATTCATCAAAATGATGATATTAGCAAAAAGAGTCATGAATAAATTTCTCATTGCAATGGACACCATGTCCAACATAAGTTCTCATGGAACTCATAACGTGTTGTGGTGGAGCAATTGGGATGTATTCTGCACACCCAAATTTTCTAGCATTTTAAATGTTTGGTCCCTGACCAAAACCATTTGTATGAAAGGGAGAACTTATGATAACTTGTTGGCTTCATGCAAATTAATGATATCATATACCTCGATAAGAGATCGATAGACTTAGATTGTTCTCATAAGAGAAGTTCTGTTTGATTGGATAATCATCAAAATATATCCATCATTCGGCAACTAATCTCGCAAACATCAGGTTGCGTTTAGATAACAGACATATATGATGATATAGTTGATGAATCAACCAAAATCATAAAATTCATATATGATTTGCACGATGAGTGTATTTTTCTGCATACACTTTTATAAAATCTCAACAAATTCAATTATTTTCACGAGTATATTCTCCTCGAGACCATGTATCACATAATCAATCCTTTGATTGATGAATTCTCTGAACTCTCACTTAATTTCCGTATGATATCTCAATCATTTTTGCATCTATATCCGGGATGGTATGACCGGACATGCCAAAATAAAAAGTTATCCGATCTTGCAAACTTCTGGTTTACACTTTCATATGTACTAATATACATGTAGTACAAATTTCTCCAGTTAAGTATATGTTCTCTTATAACACATTTCTGATGCAATATCAATTATGATATTCTTTTCTGCGAATATCTTCATAATTCGGTAATGCATCTTCAACTGACAGTTTAGTTCATTCACGTCTCAAAACATTAGCTCTTCTGGAGCTTTCACATACTCTTGTACTACATTTTGGTCACTATGCACCTTTTGATTTCGGTGAACTATTGTGAGCACAAATCCATAGTGATAAGAATATTGTCACACTATATATCACCAATATATTGTTTAGTTACTTCAAGTAACAAAACACAATCTCTTCCGGAGCTTTTGATTACTTTCATACTATATGATATAATACCAGTATTGACTTTTGCAAATATTCATTCTATACAAAAAACATACAAAATAATAATAATAATAATAATAATAATAATAATAATAATAATAATAATAATAACAACAACAACAACAACATATATGTGTTTCATAACACATTTCGCATACGAAGGTTACAGTATATGATCATGACTTTTGCTACATGAATTATCATCCTCATTTATAATTATTTTATTTTTCACTTCCGGTGAAAAGAAACATTTGCTGATTGTCATTATCCAAACTTCCCATGTATTTTTTTTCATTGCAATGGTAACTCATATTCCGACATTTTTGTTACAAGATCCACATATATAAAATAAGTTCATAAAATTATATGAACAAATAACAAGATCAAATAATCTCTCAAAGACATTGAGATAGATAAACATACTAACAAGAAACGACATGAAAATTTGTATACCTTGAGTGTTGTGATCTTACTCAAGTATATTTGATTCTGTAGAGAGACAATCACCAACCATGACTTTGGCAAAGCTTCGTGCTGATAACGTGTTATGAAATAACAAGGAAGATGAACATACACAAGAGTAAGAGTAGAGACACAAGAAGAGAGGGGGAATAGAGCTTTCTTATTCATGTGTTCCTTATTACAAGGAGATCATCTATTTATAGGCACACATCACATAACCTCTACATTCTTACAATCAATATACATGAATGTGAGAATGAATGTGAAATAGAAATGGGGTGGGGGGTTACATGTAACACCCAATTGTGCAACTAATGTGTCATATGGAGAAATAAATATAAGGAGATGAGTTACATAGAACTTTTAACATACCATGGAGCATCTAATGTTGGTCATCCATAATAATAATAATAATTTCATAACATTTTCTCCTTTTCTTATTTATGTTCCTATTCTTTAGCCCTCTCCTCCTGTACATTCTCCCACTCTGTACACTATCCTTCATTCTCTCAACAGACCCACCTGTAATAGTGTATAAAATAGAACTGGAAATACAGAAGCAAATAACGTTTTGATTGCCTTCATATTCTTCTCTTTGCATATCTCTCCTCTCTAACAGAAAGCACCCCCACTGCTGCCGCTACCATCGCCACCCTTCCCATCTGCCTGACTGAGATCAATGCTCTTCGAAACTTTCTTTGGTTCCCATGAAACTCTTTTCACCTTCGTTCTCACTGCTTGTTTTAGCGTGGTCGTTCTCCACCTCCTTGCCCTCTGGGTGATCCATTCACTCCGACAACTGTTGGATGGCCTCATCCGTCTTTGCAAAGTGCGGGGTTATGGCTACCTCCATATGTTGTACCGTGGTGCACAGCTCCTCCGCCACCAAGCACCTTTCATCCACCAAAACCACCATGTTCCTAGACCAGACTCCTGTGATACCAAATGATGAATGGTAACTCACGTTTTGAAAGTTTGCTTGTAACCCATAAGCGAGAGAACGACATAGAGTTCTGAAAGCCTTTTGTTTGTTTATTATTTGATAATCCGAACTATAATCTTTTCACCTATGTATTTTAACTTGCTATATTTCTTTCGTTTTAAGTCATAATTAAAAAAGAATTGCACAAATAATCAGATTAAATGTGTTCATCATCCACTTTGATATTTTTGGAGCAAAAAAATGAGACATTTAGTAGCAGTCTATACCATGGTGTAATGCTTGGCACTACATATGATCATACTACGTGGTACAGAAGTGTACCATGTTGGTTTGAACATACGATAGTGTAGAATGATTGAATGCATGATAGTAGGAATATACGAACTGACATTTACCACATTCATCATTATTTGCCACCAGTTACCACCCCTATACCAGGGTGGTATGAGGTTGTACATTTTGGTCTTGTATTTATTTTTCTTGAACTGTCATTTACCACATTCATCATTATTTACCACCAGTTACCACCCCTATACCAGGGTGACATGAGGTGGTACATTTTGGTCCTATACTTTTTCCTTGAAATTGTAGATCCAATAGATCATGAATAACTCGTTCATTCTTAGCAAAAAAAATCAAAATTCGAGTTTAAAACAAGGATGCAAGGTACCAAGTGGTAAAGAGTGGTATGAAAAAAAAATCTCGAAATATTTTGAAAATGGATCTCATTTTGTAGATTACCATGAACTCGTTTCATCTATGCAAAAAAAATTGAAATCCAAGTTAAAACGAAAAAAATAAGACGCGAATAAGAAAACTACGAAAAATGAAAAGCCATTAATTCTCATCCCTGAAATCTTAGTACATCTGGCTCCGCTCAAAACTAAGGGTCCATATTTAGTTATGCACCATAGCTTAGACCCCTAATACCTTGGTAAGCCTAATAACAGAATACTAACTCATGGACTGCTTGAGAAACAAGCTATCAACATGATCCCTATCGGCTCACAGGAAATGGATGACTTTTAGGTTTGGCGGTTTACCAATCGTGGTGAGTTCACTGTCAGATCTGTTTTCTAAGCATTCCATGACAAAGAAAGAGCCACTCATCTAGAGGATACAGCTTTGACAAAATTCGGAGAAGGAAAAATGGATGTGGTTGTGGAGTCTTTCCTTGCCACCAAAGTTACAGCTCTTTCCTGTGGAAGGCCACAAGAGGCACCCTAGCAACGAAGGGTAACCTCTGGTCTACTCTCAGCATTCCAAGACCATCCATCATTGTCTTTTCAGCTGTGCTCACGCCTTTGAGTATTGAAATCACCTCGAACCGAGTATGGCACTGCCACCTCCATCCATGCCTACTCTGGATTGGCTGTATGCTCGAAAACCACCCAAGACTATCAGTTGTGGGCTTGTGGCAATGTTGCCCCGAAAAAGAGGAAGGTTGGTATCCCTCTTTCCATTCAGTCTATCCCACCCCCTGACAATTTCCCACCACCACCATGCAATCTCACTTTCGAAATTCACTGATTCACTGTGATGGATCGTTTTTCCACGATTTCCAGGAGGCGGCTTTTGGGCGTTGTTCTTACTAACAACCATAGAGAGGTTTGTGACGGGAAGGCCGATTTCCTACTCTGCAATTCAGCGCTGGAAGCTGAAGCGAAGGCATACATGAAGGGTGTTTGCTTGCTTCGGGCTTGAATGGCTAGCGTGATTCAATATGATTGCAAGGTTCTAGTGGATGCTATCAAAGGTCCGAAGAAAGATTGGACACGGAAAAGGGTGCAATTTGGTGCGCCCCTATCTCGCCAATGCCCATCCCTACTCCAAATGAACGCCATGCCAGGGTACGCAACTTGGAAAGACCCAGCCCCAAAAAGTGTTCAGCCATTATGCGCATGTCTATTGTAAGTTAAGTTTTGTTATGGAATTGCATTCAGCACCCGGAAATCAAAGTATCGTCAGATAAACAACACTTTCGCAGCACTCCGAGCAGCAAATGGGTAAGCATTTTACAATTCACATTACAGGGCTTACATTTTATACACAATACTATACAACTGAGAAGAAGAAGCAGCTTAGGCGGAAATATGTTCAGCAGTCAGCACCAGAGAACTGTGTCTTTAACTGACAATCTGCCTTGGCCAATGCTGCTTTCCTCGTAATCGATCGTCCATTTCTCAAACGTGCAGTTGTGGAAATCATAATACCCTCCATGAACACTCAACAACCCTTTACTTACTTTCTCTTCAATCCATGGATAAGTCAGCAAGTTGAGCAGGGAACGGTTGATTGATTCCTGCAATAGAAAAAACAAAGTTGGATCTCTGAAATCAACTGAAAGACCAAAAACAATGCTCAATTTGCATAGTTATGGAGATAGCAAAAGACCTTCTCGCAATGCTTGCATTGTTGTTCAAAGCTGAGGTGAGATGCGTCAGCTTCTGCCGTAAACTTGGCAGCTTTTGCATTGGCAACCCATTTCTCGGTGAAGCTACAATAACAGAATGGAACAAAAATTGAGTTAACCTGATAGAGACTCAGCATACAGAAACCAAAGCGAAAGGGGAATGAGTAATAAATCATGTAACTTAAAAACCTGGAGTTCTCTTCCTGCATACTCATGAGAGTTTGAATACCAGCACAGTCGCTATGGCCAACGATGAATATATTCTCAACCTACGAGCAGCAAACAACTAATTCACTTCACCTATTCTCATGTTCAAGTCAACAATGGTCAGACTACATACAAGAAGGAACTTACACAATGATCTAGATTACTTCATAATCTAGTATGGAGCATTTAACAAACAAGTGCGTCGGAACAGAACAATCATAAGCTATTTGAACTTCACAATGATCTTTTATAAATTTGTAAGAGCTCAAAGTACAGTTGACAGAAGAAGTCTTACCTGGAGAGTGTTTACAGCAAATTCCAGGGCAGCATTGGTTTCAGTAGGGCCACACTACACATTTTGAAGGGAAGGTTAAGAAAGAGAGACAACTACAAGCTGTTTCCATTCGTGTCATGTTGAAGTTGAGCAAGGGAGTTATTGACAATCTGTGAGTACCTCAAGAGGAGGGACGATGTTTGCAACATTACGGATCATAAAAGCTTCCCCAGGCTGAAATCCCAGGATGTTCGAGGGGCAAACCCTGGAGTCTACACAGGCAATCACCATAAACTGTTCAAAATCGTCAGCTCAAAGAACAAAATGGAAAACAGCTCTATCAAAAGCACCACCACAAGATATCACAAGTCTTGTTAACTTCAAATCTGCTACCTTTGGGAATTGCATTTCAGCGAGAGCTCGGAAATGTTCCAGTTTTTTCCTATACAAAGATCGAGAAGCATGCATTTTCTTTCTATTAGCAGCAAGCAAGTCAGGAAAAACACCAATAACAAAACAACGATCCCTTGTTTGTTACTCACATATACGTCTGCTTCTTAAAACTCAGAAATCTCTGTTTCATCTCTTCAAAGTCCAATCCGCTTTGAGCGTTAGGCGAGCACTCAACTTCAGAGTTTCCCGTTTCTTGGGCAAATCCATCGCAACTAACAGAGGTATGGAGCTTCAGAGCTTTTCTCCTGAATCACCCAAACTTACCTAAATGAATATCATAGCAGACAAAAAATTGACAGTAACCCAGAAATCGGAAAACTCTCTTACCCAACTGAAGGCGATAAGTGGAACCGGTGATCATGGACTTTCGCTATTCTTGTCTGAGAGAAAAGCAGTAAAAACAGGTGGATGAAAGACGAACCCATCAAATCTTTTACTCAAACAATCAAGACGAGGAGCAGCAGTAGTTAATTACAGTTTTCAACTCACACTGGCCAAATTAGGGCAGTTTCGGAGAAATCCCAGAAACGAAGAACTAGTGACCGTCGAAGAGGGCGGGCAGTGAAAGGGTTCCCCGGCGGTGAATGCAAGAGATAGCCTAAGATCAGGTGGAGCCGCCATTGTTGCGATGAAGTTGCGAAGTTTTGACCCTAACAAGTCAATGGGATTGCTATGCTAAATTAGGAGTGCTGAAAACTTAAACAAAGGAACAGACGAGGTGAAGTAGGAGGAGCTCACGGATTGAGGAGACCATAGCTGTTTTCACGAATCTTCCCGCGCCGTTTGGCAATAGTTGATATCTTCAACTTTCCTTTAATAATTCCTCGATTCCCGGGAATGGAAAATCATGTTTTTGTTTAATCAAAGAGCTCCATAGCCCATACTTATCCAGTTGCTTGCTCACTTGGCAATTATTTGGCAGAGAGAGTCATCTTGTGGCTATCCAATTATTTCCCAACGACGAGAAAAAGCAGAACACGGAACTGAACTCAACAAGCATAAATCTTTGATGGGTGCGATGGAAAGAAAGATTCTTTGATGGGTGCGCAACTGCGCATCCAACAATGATGGCAGCCATGCTTTCCAGTTTCCAGCATACGAGCAAAAACTCAATTCTTTTTTTTTTTTTTTTTTTGAAACTTTTTTTTTTTTTTTTGAAACTAGCAAAAACTCAATTCTTAAAAAAAATGGTTTTTACTTTTTACAGATGTTTTATTCCAAATGAAATGAATTCTTATGCTAAAATATCATTTCAAATTTTCAGAGATAAATTTAATTAAATTCTTAAATAGTTGAAATACATTAAAATTTGAATTAAATAAAGAGTTTTCAACTATACTCTTATTAATTTTCAGGAAAAGCAAAAAATTTATTACTCATTGAAAATTCATCTTTTAAAAACGCTAGTGTCAAATTTATCATTCAACCATTTCGACCAAGCAAAAAAGAAAATTCGTTATAACTAGTAAACAACTTCAAGATCCATCTTCTCAAACGCAAGTGTCAGAATTATCATCCAACCAATTCGACCAAGCAAAATAGGAAGTCGTAAAAACTAGTAAACAACTTAAAGATCCATCTTCTACAAACATCCGTTGTAACCCATTTTTATCGTGAGCCAAGAGCAATTGTTCCCCTCTTGCTTATATATTAGGCTAAGTAGCATTTGAGCGAGAAATTTAGGTGCGCAAATATATGGAGCATTGACGCCAAATTATATACATGAGGTAATTTACTTCATAATTGAGGATAGTTATGTCGTTTTATCATAATTAGTAAAGTACTTGTGGAATTCATTTTGAAATTTTACTTCAATTTCTCAAAATTTCTAAAACTAGCTCAATTCCGAAGAATTCAAAATTTAGAATTGAAAACAAATTTCTTTATATTCCAAACACAAAAAGAAAATTATTTTAAAATGAATTTCTTAAAACTTATGGAATTCATTGTAACCGAACAGTATGTAGGGGTGTACATGGGTCGGGTGGTTCGAGTTTAGTCATTTTAATCACCCGACCCATGCACTACGGTTTGAGAAATATCAAACCCAAACCCACCCAAAAAAATTTAAACCCTACGGTTTGTTTCTAATTGGGTTGGATCGGGTTGGCGATATTTTTAAGTAAAAACCCAATCCAACATAAAATATATAATTATTCTACATCATAAAATATTTTATAACTAATTAAAATTTCAAACGAATGAACCAAAGTGAAAGGTATCAAAATTCACAAATGTTATTTAAATTTTAATAAAATGTTATTTACTTCAACATATGTCTTGTTTTTTCACGATATTTGTTAAAATGGGCTATAAATGTTATAAACAAACGCATCCATCATATGTTATTCTATTAAAATTGTACACAAGAAAAAAGATTACGTGAATCATAACTATATTCAATTTATGTATAAACTTTAAGTCGAAAAATGCATTAGATTAGGGAGACCATGAGAGAAAACATGGCGAAATATCTTAATTTTCTCATAAGTATATGACTATATACGACATAAATATTTTTTAGATCCGAACTCATACTAATATTTGGAACACGGGTTGGGTCGGGTTCTACGGGTTGTGTAACCAAAATCCAAACCCAACCCAAAAGAGGCACGTTGTACAAAAGAAAACCTTCACCCAACCCAAAACCTTCGTTTTAGCGATAAATACGGGTGGGTTGAGTCGAGTTGGACGGGTGGGTCGGTTTGCGGGTGTATTTGTTCATCCCTAACTGTATGTAAGGGTCAAGGTTGTCAAACCGGTTTATGCCAGTGTGCCGGTTTAGCAAGTGGAATGGTTTAACCGGTGGCACATACCGGTTTGTGCCGGTTCATACCGGTCAATATTACAAATAAAATTATAAATACTCATATTTAAACATGACATTTAACGTCAATACCAAAACATTTATACTTGAATCTAACAAATAACATCAATATTTAACTTTTATACTCATAAAATAAATAATAAAATAAATTTCATCAATTAAATTCACTAAAATAAGGTCATTTTACTTAGAGATTAGTATATCGATCATGCCGGTCATGCCGATTTTATGACCGATAACGGTTGAACCAGGTACAACCGGTGGCACGCCGGCCGGCGTGATAACCATGGTAAGGGTTGTTTGGAGAAGAAAAGAATTTCAAGTATGGAATTAGAAAATTCTTTTTTGACAGAAGGATTTAGAAAATTTGGAGATTCTGCAACAAAAAAAAAAGTTTTCTATTTATGTTTCTATTCGGTTCAGATATTTTGGATATTTAAAATAAATCCCTAATAAATATAGAGACTTATATTCGGATTTATGATATTTTTTTTAGCTTTGATCTCTTTCTTTTACTGAATCGCTATTCGTCGCCCTAAAATTTAAATTTTATCGCCCTAAAATGCACCATATTGACACTATTACCCCTATTCCTAATTTCAACCCAAACCTTAAATTAAAAATCTCTTTTCCCTTGCTCAGCGGTCGGCGAGCTCCTCCATCCTCTGACTGCTAATGCTGTTGCCGGATTCTTAACTCCGGCTCGTCTTTCTTTTGTTCAACCCAAATCACCCCCGCTTCCAACACCACAGCCAGGTCCTACGCTGTCCTTACGAACGAGTGGATCAACTCGGAGTACCCAGCAAGAATTGGAGAAAAGTAGTTACCTACATCCAATTTCTGATCACTACTATTTTCAAACCGAATGAAAGTGAAAACTACAGAAGGTGGCGATATTATCTCTATCCAACGTGTAATTACATTCTCAAAACTTTAAACTAGAACTTTTGGGAGTGGGCGCGCGTAACGGTGCAACTTTGGAACATATCCTGTTGGCGGCGGCCAATTTTGATGGCCATCAACTCTGCAATCAGCCCAGTCTCCGGAATCTCCACAACAAAGCCGCCGCTACCGCCATCCTCAGCCCTCGTCGCCGAGCTCGAAATCTCTGGTGGCGGAGGAACGGGGAAATTAGGGATGAGTTTGTTTTTAAGTTTGAAAAATAAATAAACGAATTAAGGTTATTAGAGTAAATTAAATTTAATTAGGGCGACGAATAATAAATTTTAGGGCGACAAATAGCAATGTCCTTCTTTTATCTATTACACTAGACACTATTACTAATAGTGGTGATACTCTTGGTTGCCTGTTATGTTTGTAAAACATCATCTACGGCAGAATCCACAGTAAGCAAGGGCTTCATCATGTTGTAGCTTCTGAAAACTTAGAAACTGGATTGATCGAGATTTTCACTATGGGGTTGTTTGGATGGATCAATTCAAAAAATGAAATAATTTGGTAATTGTCTCATTTTAAAAACCGAGTCGATTTGAATTGTATGCCCCCACCGCAGACAATTGTAATTCCCGAGGCAAAATTGCTTCATCTAAATTTTGTGCTGCCAAACGGATCAATTTGGTGAGATTGACTCAAAATGGAACAATCTGATCAAATTAATTCGTTAGAATTCCTCATCCAAACGACTCCTATGATTTAGATAATATGGACTCCCAAACATCAAACCATTGGATTATTGTTATTGTTTTGTTGTTGACGACCATCGTTGTTGGTGTTGTTATGAACTTGCCCACCATTGCCACTGGATGTGGCATTGTATGTGCCAAAAGGAATGCCATGAGATCCCTGTGTTTGTGATAGTGTCACCATAACTGGAGCTGAAGCAGAAGACGGATTACAACTGTCCTGATACAGTGAGAATGAAGAGTTGTTAGGTTATGTCAAGAACCAATTGATCTCAATACCTCGATTTGTTGGGAGAAGGTTATGATGGGTCTTATATCACTCTCTAACACACCCCCTCAAACGAAAGCCATCTCACAGGCTTGAAGTTTGCACAAGCCCATCATACCTTGTGCTTTAATAAACTGTTAACATTGGGGGTTGCGGAATTGAAAATAACACGGGACAACGAGTTTTACGTGGTATCCTCGATCGATTGATTGATCGAGACTAATCCATGGTGAGCTCGAAAGAGCTCACGAGACGATTTTATTATGGAATACATTGTGACGGCTTGCTTACGACAATCTCGTAGCTAAGCTTATATACGAATTTTCCTATGCCTCTATTCGGAATGGTGGACGTGGAAGAGGTTCTAATGTCTGGAGGCAAAATGGGCAAGCCACGCGGCGCCAAGCTGGAGCGAGATTGCTCCTGGAAGCTCCGCCGCTATGTCAAAATCAGGATCGGAGTACCCCAGTCTTCTCTGCGTCGGCGGCACACAGAGGTAGCTCGAGAGGAAGAAGAGGAAGGGGGCAGGCCCACCCCTCTGATCTTCCAAAGGCCCAACTTAATGCAAGCCCAAGTGCAATAAAAGCAGGCTGTTTGATTGGGCTCAAAAGGGCTGGCCTAGAATTAATACCTGGGCCAAGCAGAAGAGTCTGCTCCAACAACCAAGAAATAAGAGGGTCCGCCATCATTGGGCCTGAAGGGGAGTCCAACTCCGAAAATCTTATTGGGCAAGGAAGCCCTTATCAGCTGTTGGAAAATCCAATTCCATTGCAAGTGCAGGAGCCAACCCAATCTTTTGGGCTAGGTAATTTATTTTGCGATGAAAATCCCGAATTTTTATTTGAAGATTTAGATGAAACTAATCTGTTTGGTTATCAAGGAGATATGGGCTTTCTAAATCTCGAGGCCCACTTACTGTCTTCAAAAACTGCAGTATCATGCTCTCCGATTGGTCCCGTCGAAAATGGGAAATCAAAAGGCAAGGCCATCCTGATAGAATCCTCGGGATCTCCTATTGTCTACACTCGAAGAAATGTGGGTATTTGTATCCAGGAACCGGAAGAAGGCGTGGTGGATTCAGGTCCTAAGAATGTTCAAACTAGGGTGGAGGAAGCCAACCCCAAGTGGCCCCAATCCGATAAATGAATGTTTTCGCGTGGAATAGTCAAGGTGTGAGGAGTCCCTTGACATTCCAAACGCTTAAAACTCATCATTGTTTAGCCAAATCGTTTCTTTTCCTAAGTGAGACAATGTATGCAAGGAGTACGGTGTCATCTTTTATTTCCTCATTAGGATTTTGTGATTGTCACATTGTTGATCCAACCGGTATGTCGGGAGGATTAGTCTTCGCTTGGCCACGGTCGGCTTCAGTGTCTGTTATTGGGTCCACCCCCTTTTTTATTGAAATTTCCATCATCAATAATAACTCCTCTTTCTATGGTGTGTGTCCTTATTTCGTTTTAATTGGAGTTTATCTTTCTTATATTATCTCGAAGAGACAACAACAATTGGAGGAAATAAAACGATTCTTGTCCAACATTTCTGATCCATTCCTAATCATAGGGGATGTCAACTGTTCGTTATTTCCTTCAGAAAAACTAGGAGGTGCAACTTGGCGTATGGACAAAGCGCGACCTTTATGGGATTTTCTTCATCAAACCGGTCTCTTTGAACCTCCTTTCCAAGGGCCTAGGTTTACTTGGATGAATCGAGGCAGGAATGGGATAACCATTGAGCAAAGAATTGATAGAGCTTTTTTCTCACATACTTGGATGAACTTTTGGCCAAACTCTTCCGTATATCATCTTTCTGATAGAGGTTCAGACCATCGACTTCTTCGGCTAACTACTAGTGTCATGGCTCCTCACTTTAAAAGGTTATTCAGATTCGATATTCGTTGGACTTCAATGCCAGAGGCTGAGCTAATCATTAGCTACATTTGGGGCTTACAAGGTATAGGCTCAGTACAATATTGCATATTCTCCAAACTGCTGCGAATAAGGCATTCCCTAGTGGAATGGTGCAAAGGTGGTCAATCCAATTCAGCTAGATTGATTAATGATCTTAATTCTGCATTGGAAAAAGCCAGGAGTGAACAAACGGTGGATTGGAATTTAATTCGCTCCTTAGAAGAGAACCTGTCTATCCAGTATAAAAGAGAAGAGATCTACTGGAAGCAGAAATCTCGTACTAATTGGTTAAAAGTGGGGGATAAAAATTCTGCATATTTCCATCTGGTTACTTCCTCAAGGCGTCTAAATAACATTATTTGGGGACTTGAGGATGAAAGAGGAATCTGGTGTACTACAGAAGTAGAAAAATGTGGCATAGCTAAGAGGTACTATGAAGAGCTCTTCCATAGTCAAAATCCGAACGAGATAAATCTTTCCAATCTAGTATTCACAAACTACCTTACAGAAGAGCAGAACCTGGAGTTGATAGCTCCTATCACCGCAGAGGAAATAAAAAAAGTAGTCTTCAGCCTGGGCAAAACTCAAGCTCCAGGTCTAGATGGGTTCACAGCCGGGTTTTACCAACATTATTGGCACGTGGTGGGACAAGACGTTACACAGGCAGTTCTAACGTTCTTTCACACCGGAAGACTGTTGAGAAGTTTTAATCGAACTTGGATTTCCTTAGTTCCAAAAGGATCGGAAGTTCGAACTATGAAAAATCTCAGGCCTATTAGTCTTTGCCAAGTGATTTACAAGATCATCTCCAAGATTCTAGCTAACAGACTGAGCAAGGTTTTGCCGTCAATCATTTCTCAATCTCAAAATGGTTTCATAAAGGATCGCCAAATTACGGATAACATTATGATCAGCCACGAGATCACCCATCATATTAAAACCCTATACTCAGGGTCGAATTGTTGGATGGCCTTAAAACTAGATATGGAGAAAGCGTATGATCGTATTGAGTGGTCATTTCTATTTGAAATGATGAAGGAATTAGGGTTCAGTAGTCAGTTCATATCCTGGATTCGGGAATGTGTGACTACAGTATCCTACTCCATACTCGTTAATGGTTCCCCGTCAGAGTACATCAGACCTACGAGAGGACTGCGACAAGGTGACCCCCTTTCTTCTCTGTTATTTGCTATATGTACAGAGGGGTTCTCATCTCTTCTTTGCTGATGACTCTTACCTGTTTGTACAAGCATCTCGTGCTTCTTGTTTGAATTTATTATCCTTGTTCCAAGATTATGAAAGGATTAGTGGACAGAAAGTTAACCTTTCCAAATCGGCAGTGCTCTTCAGTAAAAATACTAAGAGCGAAGAGGCAAGCTTCATGGGATCACAATTGGGAGTTGGAGCTATAGGAGAACAAGATTCTTATTTAGGCCTTCCCTCTCTAATACCAAGAACCAAAAAGGATATGTTTCTCTACATTGAGGAAAAGATGGGTAAGAAGTTGCAAGGTTGGAAGAAACGTACCCTCTCCAAAGAGGCTAAGGACACTTTAATCAGAACCTCAGCAACTAATATACCTGTTCATGGTATGTCGTGCTTTAAATTCCCAATTGACACCTGTAGACGTTTAAATGGCCTTTTGGCAAGGTTTTGGTGGGGTTCTGCTAATAATTTTGATCATCCAATTCACTGGGTTTCATGGAAAGGTCGCGCCCAAAGTAAATTTCATGGAGGATTAGGCTTCAGGGATTTTAGAGCTTTTAATCAAGCTCTTTTAGCCAAGCTTTGTTGGCGCATTTGGAAAAACCCGGACTCTCTCATTAGTCGATTGTATAAAGGCAGATATTTCAATGATAATTCGATTTTGAAAGCCTCCATCGGCTCTAATCCATCTTGGGGATGGAGAAGTATCCTCTATGGGAGCGAGATACTCGTGCAAGGACTACGCTGGCAAGTAGGCGATGGAAACGACATAGAAGCTTTCAAAGACAACTGGTTACTAGCCGATAAACCATGTCCTCCTGAGCTTAGACGGCAAGTGGATAATAATAATCCGAGGGTGTCCTTTTTCATCAGAGAAGACCAAAGGGAATGGCATATTCCTAGATTAAGGCATTGGTTTAAAGAAAGTTCAATTGATCTCATTCGTAAAATGGTAGTTCCCATACTTCCTCAACAAGACAAGTTAGTATGGCACTTTACCAAAAATGGATCTTATTCGGTAAAAACTGGGTATCATCTTGCCTTGGATAATATTTTAATACTCAGCCAAAAATCGATGGCTACTATCATTGATCCTCCTGTTTGGAAAAGAATGTGGGCGCTCGATGTCCCGTCAAAGCTCAAGTTCTTTATATGGCAATGTTTGAAAGTGATTTTGCCAACTATGACGGCTCTTAGGTCCCGGGAAATTAACTGTTAAATTCGTTGTCCAGTTTGTTGGGATAGTCAAGAGAGTATTGAACACCTCTTCTTTCATTGTCCACCTGCTCTTCACCTCTGGAATATGGTGGGACTAAGTAGCTTACTTCTCTCCGCCCCAACTGAAAACTTTGGGATCTGGTGGCAATATGTTATGAACTCGGAAAGCTTCCAAATCCACTATCTCCCCTGCATTTGCCTTCTTTGGAGAATTTGGAAATCTAGAAATAAAGTGGTGTTTGAATTCACTCAACCACTAGCCAGTTCGCTTGCCCGTCAATTCTTCTTCCAAGTTCAAGAATACTCCTCTTTATCCCCCCTCCCCCAAACCCTTCCTCCTCGCCTGCAGTCCTCTCGCTCTTCCAGTTGGGTTGGTCCTCCCGAAGTTTTTCTCAAGATCAACTTCGACGCTGCTGTTCGAGACGCGGGTTGCTCGTCTGACATCGTAGTTCGAGGTCCGGATGGGCAAGTCTTCTTGGCCTTGGGGTTCCTTCATCAAGGATTTTCGAACCCTTATCTTGCCGAGCTGCTGGCTGCCAGGGATGCCATCGCTTTAGTGCTTTCTCGCAGTATTCCTCTAGTCATCATCGAAGGAGATTCAGAGGAAGTTATCCGGCAACTTGAGGGCAGATGCTTTGAAGACTCGGTGGGCGGGCCCTTACTTCGTGATTGTTTTCAGTTATTGGGATCCTGTTCTGCTTGTATTCTTTTTAGATCGGTCCCGAGGACTGTCAACTGGGCTGCCCATAGAGTGGCAAGACAAGCCCTGCTGCTGTCCCCTGTAGAGATAGCGTCCTTCGATTTTGTAGGGTGGCTCCGCTAATGGTTTTTTTGTGTGTTGGGTAGAGGATTTAACTATTGTACTTTGATATTACTTGGATAAAAAAAAAGCTTATATATATAGATAGACTTACGTGTAAAACCCTAATGACAACCAAGTTCCTTCTTTTACCGGGACAAGGAAACAAAGGACTTGGAGGACAAGGAATTAATTACTTTTTGACTAAGTAATTAATATCCTCAACACTCCTCAAGTGAAGACATGAATGACAAGAATGTCGAGCTTGAAACTGAACAACACTCAAACAACCTATTGCTGGCAATGACGATCCATTAGGCTGTGACTTTGTTCGCTTGCAGGAGAGGTAGACAAATGATGAAACTACTCCATGTTTGACCCAGTTCTTTGGACAATGAACTCAACATGGTGAAATTCCTTGACGTCTTGGATGAGACTGATCCGACTCCATGCTTGACCTAGTTCAACAATAGTGAACTCCACATGGCGGAATTACCTTGACGTCTTGGAAGAGACTTGAGACAGATGACAGTGTTGCTGGCTTTGGAGACTTCTAACTGCACTGCTGACTGTGCTTCCTCGAGCAACATGATTGATAGATACAAGCAGTCGACTTGATGAATGAACTAGTCGATCTACATGTGTTGATTCCCTATTCTCCCCCTCAAGCTGAAGCAAGAACGATGTGAATGCCCAGCTTGAAAGTTAAAATAGTGAAGACTGAAAATTACCTGCTTCTGAATGCCGAGGGAACGATCTCTCCTTGCATCGTGACTACCTCGTTGTACGACATGATAAGATTTTGTTACGAAAGCTTTTCCATCTCCCCAACACTAGCTATTTGAAGAGATGACCGCTGCCAGTCATGATTGCCTTCAACGCCATGACTGTGATGTTGAAGGCAACGGGAGATGTTGGTGCGGCCGAGGCAGAGGAGAACGGATAGGAGAGTTCGATAGAGGAGACCGGAGTCGAGATTGTGTAAAGGGGGAGGGTTGTTTTGGTGATGTACTGATTTTGAATTTTATTTTTGGTAGAAAATTAATTGAAAGATAAGATAATTTACGTATTTAAGTTAGGATGACACGTCGACGACATTTAGCGATGCAGATTTCTTCTAACATTTTTCGAAATGGAAATTGACCCAAACAATACTCAAGAGTTCAATTTACTGCATTCCTTCTAAGATATCCAATAAAATTGTAACGATACAGAAAAGCTCAATCAACCACGCACTGCAAGCCCCCAACTAGAATCAAGAAACACGGGCTCGTTTGTTCCCACGGGCCACATGGCCCAGCCCAGAACCCGAGTTCCGGTTCAATACCACGGCGGTCAAAGCTCTCTTCAGAATCCTGACGTCTTCCTCCTCCCAACCGCCGCCATTGTCCCCTGCCTCCGCCTCCATCTCCACCGTCACCACGCTTTTCGTCCGGCCACCCACCGTCACCATCTCCGCCCGAACCGCCCGCGCCCGGACCGACCGAATCGCCTGGCTCAAATCTCGGTTCAGCCCCGGCCGATCGTTACAGCACACGCTCAATCTCATCATCTTCTTCTTCCCGTCCCCGCCGCCGCAACAGCTCACCGTCGCCTCGTCCAATTCCCCCGGGATCAGACACCACGGTTCAGCTCCGGTCTTCCCTGCAACTTTTTCCGCCGCATGCTTCCTCAGCTGCCTCAAGTGGTCCACCGCCTCCGCCAGCAGCGACGCCTTGTCCGGCTGTTCATCACCAAAACATCCCCAATCGCATTAATCAAATAAAATTAGCTTGGTTCAGTGTGCAAAGAGTCTCGTCAAAACTGAATCTACAGAAGAGAAGAGAAGTGGAGCTGATCAATTGATTAACCTTGACGCGCTTGGGGAGGAGAGAGCGGAGGGTGGAGAGGTGGGCGTTGATACGGTGGCGGCGGCGGCGCTCCGACTCTTTATGGCTCTTGCTTGCGGCGGAGGAAGAGGAGGTGAGGGCGGAATCTCTGCAGCCGTAGCGCTTGGCAGAGAATGCATCCATCGCAGAATTAAACGACGGCGACGTTGTGTTCTCCCGGAGTGAGAAAATAATGGAAGCGGCGTTCCGTCCGGCGGCTACTCTTCAATTTAAATGGCGGGGTGCTTTTCCTATATATACTAGTACTAGTGGGCATAGTTAGTAAATACTCCGTTTAATACACGTATATGTACCCGTACGTACTTTATCCGTTTAAAACTTCCGTATCCGTATTTTTGTCAAGCCGTTTCATTTTTGTCCGTTCATTTGGTGGCTCCCGTACTAAACACGTATAAAATCCGTATAACACGTTTTATATCCGTATTTAATGAATTAAATTGTTAACTTTACTATTATTTATATATTTATTTATTTTGAAAAATAATTTATTTTATATATTTATGACTATTAACGTACTATTAAACGTAACATTTGCTTAGAGATGAAGTAAAGTACCCGTACGTATTATATCCGTAACTTTCCCGTACCGTATTTTACTAACTATGCTAGTGGGGAGTTGGCTAGTGGTGGCTGTGTAAGTTTTGTAAAGCCAAGTTAGTTGCAAAAGTTTAACAATTTTTTTTATAATGAAAGATTAACAATTTTAGATATATACTATATACATTACATTTTGACTTTAACATAACTACAAGAGTAAAAATGATGGTTTCCTTTTGAAACTTGTGTATTCCTTGTAGGATTCCACAACATATAGTTTTGGTTAATCAAAGATCTGGATTATTAGAATAAGGGGTTGGCCGCTAATATTACTGGTATTGAATATGAAGATTTCAAGTTCCAATCTCTTAACTAGCACCTAACTAAAATTCAAATCTATATCACCCTTATATAAAATAAAATAAAATAAAATAAAATTTTTGAACTATGAAACTTCTCCTATGAAATTTACGATTTTTCTATAACTGTGTTAGTGCCATGGTTGTCATACCGGTGGAATTCCGACCGGTTGAATCTAATCCTAACGGTACCGTTACGAAACCAGCATGAATATAACCGATATGAATGACTTGATAAAAAAATTTGGCCTATAAACAAAATAACGTCGTTTTACTGAATTTAGTTAATAAAAAATTAATTTGTGATGTATTTCATGAATTTAAAAGTTAAATGTTGATGTTATTTGTTTGATTTAAGTATAAAAGTTTGGGGTATTAATATTAAATGTTGTATTTAAATATGAGTATTCGTTATTTTGTATGAGATGGTGCATTCTATTTAAATATGAATTAGGTAGTAAGTTATTGTATTCAAATATGTTTTTCTAGATGCATAAATTCTTAATCTTTTTTACATTTTTGTAACGTATTTTATTAAATGGCATAACCCGCCGTAAACCAATTGTAGCACTGGTCGAATTTGTTTTGAAACCTTGCTTAGTGCACTCCTTGTCCTTGTATGGTACACGCATTTTGGGGAATCCTCCTGAACTAAACTTTATATTATATAAATCCCAACTTTTACTTATCTTGCTCCTCTCTCTCAAACAACAGAATATGGTACACTGACTGGCACTCTGCTTCCTTCCTTCCTGCTGCTGCTCCTGCAATTGCCCTGCTGCCTGCCAGCTCATGATTGTGTTCTCTACAGCGGAAACATGTCCTTTCTCACCCTTTCCCACACCTATTTTTTCACCTCCGCCATTTTCTTTTGTTATACATATTTTGAACAAAACTCACATTGATCAACTTTCACACCGGCAGATCTCTAGCCTGGGGGAGATTCCCGCCTTGTTTAGCCAGTTTGAGCAATCGCTTGCCAGTATCGTCTTTGTGCATTCACACCTTAATTATCGACAAGATCATATTATTTTCAAAATAATGTACGATCGAGTAACTGAAAGAGTGAAAGTACGCAGCAATATCTGCAGAGAGACGGTTCAACAGTGTCAACATGCTAATTTTTGCGGTTAATTAGCATAACTGGAGGATATCAGTGTATATAGCTGTCAGCTAATTGCATCTCTCAATTTCGTGAAAGTATGGATACAAAATAATAATAATACACATTACATTTGGTAGTGGGACAAAAGGGAAGGAAATAAAAGAAGAGACAAAAATAATTTGAAGGACGCAGCGACATGGGAGGCAGTTGGAATTGTTTTGTAGCAGTAAAAACGAACCTGTTATCATATTATAACTTTACTGATATGCTAGCTAGGCATAGGATGGTCCCTTTAGGAATTGTTTTGTTGTACTCAATACTGCTGGCCTGGCTGTTGCACTGCTCTGTTCTCTGCTGCACTGCACATAAATCATAATAAGAACCCTTGTTTCTACTTTCACTTTTACCCTACAATTTTCACCTTCTTTATCACTTTCATCTTCTAAAACTAGTCTTGTTGTTAAGAAAGTGCAATTTGTGGTTAAGCATTTGTAAGATGAGGATATACTTTCATTTCAAGTTTATCAAAATGATAATGGTCTCTAATGCATGAATATGCAGTATGTCACGTGCCCTTTTTGCACGAATACGTTTTAGGGAGAAAGATCAGAATAGGACGAAGAAGAATGGAAGAAAAAAAAATAGATTGGAAGAAGAGAAGTGTTCTCCTTAATGGCGAGAACGGAACCCCTAAACTTTTTCGAGGAAAATCAACCTCCCAAATTAACACGTAGGTGTGTAAACCCTTTTTCGATTATACTCAATTCACAATCTTTCCTCTATCATCTGCTATCTTAAATAGTGAAGAAACAACTACTACCCCTAACTCCCTAACCAACGGAAAACACTTTTCTTAATCCTAGCTAACTGCTAACCACTAACCCACAAATTCCCACTAATCACGTCAGAATCCCCGTCCATTACAACTTCTAATTTTTTTTTGACAAAAGATAATCATTAGATTGAAGCAAATAGATCATTACATCCTGGAATACAGCCAGGTCTGGAAATCAAAAGAACGACATGCAGTCGGGAACAAAGACAGGGCCTTTTTAGCTACCAAATGAGCTACCCTATTGTTACGTCGACCTACAAATCGTACAGAGAAACCAAGGTTTGAAGCAAAAGAATTGACTATCTCCTCCAAGATCACCCCTATATGATTGTCCCGAATATCCCTCCGGAGTATCTTCTCAATTATCACGTGGGCATCACCTTCAAACCTCATGATAGTGAATCCATTAGCCAAACACCAGCCAATCGCCTCCCGGAGAACCAGAGCTTCAACCATCATTGGATCAGTAAGGACCGGGAATTGAATCCCCTTCGCCAGGACGACTGCTCTATCAGAATTAAGGATAACCATCCCCCCAGCCGCATGAGATCCCATCCGCACAGCCCCATCCCACATACAAATTGTCGTTGTACCTCCATCAGACATTATGGTAGGGGCCAGGGGGGAGCAATTTGAACATTCTGGTCCCGGGGAAAACTAAGCCACTCCTGCACCTGTTGATGGAATTGCCGCATCAAGGCAGGGATCCCGAACTGCTTGCCTTCAAAGACCACCCAATTCCGAGAGCGCCAAATCCTCCACAGGACAGCCACTATAGCCATTACCAGAGCCGGGTCATGCACCACCGCCAGCAACTTTCTCAGAAAGAGCGGGAACGTATGACGAGGCAATCCTTCTCCTAGGTGGGCTAGCCCAGAATGATCCCACAATGCACGAGCCACTGGGCACTCCAAGAACATATGTTCCAGAGTCTCCGATGCCCCCCAGCATACCGGGCATCGAGGCAAAACATCCACCTTCTTTTCACGCAACGCTTCCGTTGTAGGAAGAATTCTATGAAAGATTTGCCAAACAAACACCCTAAGCTTTGGAGGAATGTCCGCCTCCCACAACCTGATCCAACTTGGCTTATCCATCCAACTAGCCAAGGCTCTCCACCGACCATTCTGACGATCCAAATTCACCGCAACATAGTACGCTGACTTAACAGATAAGATGCCATCAGAAGTCGGATGCCAAATCATTTTATCCTCAATATTCTGGCGCGACAGGGGAATGTTCATAATAGCTCTACAAGTACCTGGGTCAAACCATTGACTTAGTTTCTGATCATTCCATCTTCCCTCCCCATGATGGATGACCTCCTCCACCTTCAAACCCTCCCCATCAGGAACCACGCACGGGTTATAGACAGGATGACGGGGATGTTGTTGGGGAATCCAGCTGGACGTCAGTAGAGGAGCCATCTGACCATTCCCGACTTGCCAACGCATCCCAGATGCCAACAATTGACGGCCAAAAAGGATACTTTGCCACCCCCAAGAGGGCCGAGACCGGGCCTGAGCAGTGAGAAACGTCCCATTGGGAAAGTATTTACCTTTATACACCTGGGCAATAAGGGACTGGGGTTCCTGAAGAATTCGCCAACCAATTTTAGCCAGCAAAGCCTGATTGAGTAGCTCAAAGCGGCGAAACCCCATGCCCCCTTCATGTTTGCTTTTACATAAGTTTTTCCAGGAAATCCAACGGATCTTAGACTTTCCTTCTTCCACTCCCCACCAAAAACGGGCTACATGTTTGTCAAGTAGGCGACACAGAGCCAGAGGTAACTTAAAACAGGACATAACATGCAGAGGCAATGCTAACGCCACTGATTTTATCAAAGTTTCCTTAGCTGCCCACGACAACGTTCGCCTCTTCCACCCCTGCAGTCTAGACAACAGTTTCTCTTCCAGGTAGCGGAAAGTAGCCATTTTTGACCTGGCAATCAGAGAGGGGAGGCCCAGATATTTATCATGGACTCCCACAGCCCCTACACCTAAAATTGCCGCCAAGAATTCCTGATCCGCCATCGCAATATTTTTACTGAAGCATACTGCCGATTTATCTAAGTTCACTCTCTGACCACTCAACTCCTCGTATTCATTTAGGACCTCAATCAAATTCTCACACTCTTGGAGGGAATCTCGAAGAAAAAGGTAAGAATCATCGGCAAAGAATAAATGAGAAATACGAGGTGCACGAGGGGCCACTTTGACACCTTGTAATTTTCCTTCCGAAATGGCTTGACGAAGGAGAGCCGCAAATCCCTCTGTACAGATGACAAAAAGAAGGGGTGACAGCGGATCCCCCTGTCTGAGCCCTCGGGAAGGAGAAAAAAACCCAGCTGGAGTCCCATT